TGACTTTTTTTGTGTAGGTGAGAGCATGGCTCTGTTGGGTGTCTCCTGTGGCTGTGTATTTGTAGGCTGTGCCTTACCTGGGTGAATGCCCTTTCAGGTGCTGTGTCATTGTTTTTGAGACTGTACCCTGTGTGTGAGAGTGTGTCTTTCTCTGTATGTTTTTGCCCTTGTTAAGTTTCACCCTGTTCATGAGACCCTGTTCCCTTGAGTAACTGTGCCTCTGGGTGATAGCCCCCCATTTTTTTTTAGCATGCCTGTGATCTTGGGTCAGGTGTTACCATCCCTGAAAGGGCATACATAGTGTCCCTGTGTGATTGAACCCATGTGTGACTGTTACCTTGTGATGAGTGGCTGCTGTTGCTTCTTTGTGGGTGACCGTCCCCATTCTGCCTGTGTGGTGATATGAAGTTGCTTAGGACACCCGGTGGGACTATTTCCGGCATGTAGTCCCCATGTGAGTCTGTGTGTGCAGGTGTGAGGGAGCTGTCAGCTCTGTCCCTCTGTGTTCTCCGTGTCCATGACCTCATCCTGTCTCTGTCTCTCATCCTGGCTTCTAACAACCTTTTCACAGCTGATTCCTTTGGAGCATTTGTCACTGCGTCAGGGCCAAGAACCCCATCCTCCCCCTGCTGCTTGATTTAATTTCTGAAATGGACAGCACATCAGGAGGGGCACCTGCAGGCTGTCCAGAGACAGAAGATTAAACCAGTGCCATTTCTGAAACTGTTGCACTGCCAAGTATATTGTCACTGTTGTGTTTGTTAGTGTAACAGTCGTGACACTGTGTGATTGTCATGTTGTGTTCAGCCCCTGTCTCTGCATTATGGCTTGCAGTAGTCTGTTATTGCATGTCTCTTCTGCCCTTCCTTTGTCATTGCTATCAGATTGTGTCTCCATTTTTTTTTTTTTTCAAGGCAGACACGGTGTGATGGGGGAACTGTTAGTCCACTGCTATGTATTTGTTGTCAGGAGATGTTTCCTTGTCTGTGGCTGTACCACCCCCTGTCCTAGTACTAATGGGCCATACTGAGTCCATGTTTGTTCTGAGCAGCTTTTGGTCAGTGTGGATGTGTTGCCGCTGGGACCCTGATGGCCACGCCCCCTCCCCAACGGTCAGTTTTCAGCCTCCTCCTCAGGCAGCTGGATGCAGAGTCTCTGTTGGGGGGGTTGTGTGGAGAGAGGGGCTTGGCATGTTTCCTGGAAGCTCCAGGTTTTTGGACGGGAGGTTGGAAGGGGGCTCAGTGGCCGGAGCTATTTGATTGAGGGGGGGCTCAATGGCCTGAGTCTTGGACACTGGGCCTGTGGTCAGGGGGAGGCCTCCTTTCAGCCTCTGGTCCAGCCTCACAGCTGTGGCCTCCAAGGCCCCCAGCCACCGCCCTTCCGCCTGTTCATCCTCTGTTCGGCTGGTCCCAAGCCCCACAGACAAGTGGTCAGGGCTGGCTCCGTTTCCTGCTTCCCCCTCCTCTGGACAGGGACAGAGAGGCTCAAAGAGGGGCAAAGCAGAGACAGGCAGCAAGGAAGCAGACACCCTGGCCAGGGAGGGTGGCAGGCAGCAAACAGGACAGATGTTCCCTGCAATAGAAAAGCAGTCCTGGGGAGGGGGCTAGGTTGAGGAGGGTGACTGAGGGGCCCTTGGGGGATCCCTCCCCCCTCCCGTCGAAGTCCTGGTGGTGTTAACAAGTCTAATTAAGAGGCCACTGGCCCAACTTAATTGGCTCGTTAACAGGAATTGCCTCTGAAAATCCCCCAACTCAGCG